AACTGGGGTTATGGACTAAGCCATAGTCAAATAAAAGATGGTAAAAAACAGGCTACTGCAATAAAAGACAATCACAAAATGTTCACAATAACTTGATAAGCCACTGCAGTCCTGTGGTGCTGTATTTCTTACAATGACTAACAAACTCTGTTATTACTTCACTAGGTCTCAGCTATCCAACATAAAATTAAATGCCACAATGATTTTTTTTGATAGGTCCTCTTGTACTAGCACCTAACAAATAATTTTCTAGGAAAGAATAAATGAAGAGATTAATTGGTAGGATGCTTTGTCAAAACTCCAGAGTGAAAAGCAGAACCAGCACTACCCATGTTTGAAGGCATATGATTAACAAGTTTGCCCCATGCTTCAGTGAAGTCTAGCCTGGTCTCATCTAGTCAATGGGAAGGATGGGATGTTTTTCCCAGCATCTTAATTCCTTGACCCTGACACCTTGCTGTTGCTAACCTAGTAAAATGTAAGTCTGCATCAACACTGAATCCAGGTGATAGCATATTCCTTCAGGATTTCACTTAATGAGGAAATAAAAATGAGACTTTCTATTTTTTTTGAAACTACAGGAATAAAAGAAAAAACCCTAGAACTAGACAGAACTGTAGAATTCCAACTCTGACACCGAGGCTAACTAGCTAACGGGAGCAAAGGCATGTTTAGTGTCCCCATCCTCACTCCCCTTAAAATGCTCTACCCTACTACTGCAGAGCACTTCTCTGGTTCAACATGGAACTGCTAAGCAAGCTCTCTGTTTCTGTCAAAAAAGCACTCCTGGCCATGCACAGCATTCTCCAGCACTGAGAAGCACTCCTGTTTTCCTTAGCAAACAACTGATGAGGTGAACTAAAGTTCCCAGGAAAAGGTCACACCCATGTCACCAAGGCTGACTGACTGATTAGAATGCAATGACTGTGGAGAGTTGAGATGGTGCAGATCCAGGGCCAAATTCTCCTGGGCTATCTTCCGTCTCCTCCACAGCCATTCACTGCCCATCGGTGCCTGACCTAAGAGCACTATGTGACTACCATGTAAAATCTATTAGAACATTATATCAGACCACTCACTTTCACCAATCCAACAGCTAAGAATGTCATCAGACAGCAGTTACAACTTTTGCTGTAACCTACCTAACCAGGAAGGTTGATTTATGACTTTTTGTTCTGTAGCTATAAAACCTGACAAACCATATTCACACTAGAACATAGCATTTGAGGCAACCTAAATCTGTATTCCTGAGCCATGACCATTCACGCTTGGCTTTAGAATTAAGGTAAGAAGTGTTTTGTGTTAAACCCTACACATATATACTAAATTTCATTATTTAAAAACCCAAACCTGGCCAGTTCCAGGCCAGCCTGGTCTACAGAGCGAGTTAGTTCCAGGACAGCCAAGGCTACACAGAGAAACCTTGCTTCAAACATAAATAAATGAATGAATGAATGAATGAATAAATGTATGCATACATTCACTTCTATGTTTAGCTACAAATCAGTGATCAAGTTTCACATGTCACTTAAAACAAAACAGGACTGGGGCTGTAGCTCATTAGAGAGCCTGCTTAATATGAGAAAGGCCTGGGACTCCACCCTACTGTAGTGGATAGCCATTCCAGCTTTGATCTGGAAGTTCCAAACCCCATTGAGACTTCGGCAACTGTCACACCTACAAGGCGGGGCCAAGGGAGGCACCTGGGGACCCGAGATCTGGATCAGCGGCGCGCTCTGTTGCGGGACCCTGGATAGTGGAGGTGGACCGAGCAGAGCTCCAGAGAACACCGCTGGACTATGATACACCTTCCCCAGACTCCGCGACCTACCTATTCCTTAATTTGTAAGTTACGCCATTAAATAAATCTCCTTTTAACTACGTGGAGTGGCCTTAATAATTTCACCAATATCTGGCGCCCAACGTGGGGCAAATTCCAAAGGCCTGGGTGGCTCCCACCCTCAGCCTCCTCCCCGGCTAGCGGGTACCTAAACCCGCCTGCAAAGTTCCCTATAACCAGGGAACACCTACACGGTTCCATTCCCAAAAACGGGGGCAGCTAGTCCGGTCTCAGTTCCCTAGCTTAGCCCCGAGACCAGCGAAAGAGGCACTCCCCGGCTTCCTGAGTGCCGGCGCCGGCTCCGGCTCCCGCCATCTTGACTCCAGCGAGGTGCAGTCAGCCAAGATCACCAGCAGGCCCTGCTTTGGAGCTGTACCATCGCCACCTGCTGGCTGAAAAATGCTACTACACCCCCCAAAACCAGGAAAGGTAAGTAAAAGTTCCTGATAATTTTACACCTTAAAATTGACTAACAAATTTTGAGTAATTCTTGTAATATGGCTGACAACATTACCTCACAAGAATTTGAAAACCTTTTTGCCTATATGATGAATGACATCTTCCTGGAAATATACGACCTTCCTAAGGCATATCTGGCCTGTACCATTTTGGCATTCATTGTAATAATCCACACAATGTTCAAACACTGGTTTAATAGCAAGAACAAAGATGAATCATTATTGGGACTGATACAGGCTTTAAGCGAGAGCAATGAAGGCTTACAGAAAAAGATTCTCTCTCTGGAATCTGCTTTAACAGATAACAATGAGGCCTTAGAAAAAAAGATTCTTTCTCTGGAGCTCTGCTCGGTCCACCACCACTATCCAGGGTCCCGCAACAGAGCGTGCCCGCCGATCCAGATCTCGGGTCCCCAGGTGCCTCCCTTGGCCCCGCCTTGTAGGCGTGACAGTTGCCGAAGTCTCAATGGGGGTTGGAACTTTCAGATCAAAGCTGGAATGGCTACCCACTACACCCTACTACCACTACCACCACCCCAGCCTGCCAGACACCTGGGCAGCAAATTTAGAAATGCTGAATAATAATTGTAACAGTAAGATGAACGAATTCTAAGTTCTCAGTATTCATCCTCTTTGAGGATAATTATCAATTCAATAGCTTTCCTTTCCTTTGAGCTCAGAGATCAAGGAAGAGACTTCCTGATTATCTCCTATCCTGTAAAGCACTAAGGAAGGTCTTAGTGTCTTACACACACAAAGTAAGCCAATTGGGTTCTTCCTGTACTGTAAAGTAGCAGGTTTACCTTAGAAACATTAACAATACACATGATTCAAAAGACACTGGACAGTAGTTACTATAACATCAAATTGTTTTTGTTTTTTCTTGAGAGGGGAGTCAAAAGCTAAGATTCTTCAAGTGTTTAACTGGAGTTATAGACTGACTAAGCCATAGTCAAATAATAGACGGTAAACACACGCTACTATATAATATAAGGGAATCATTAAAATGTTCACAATAACTTGATAAGCCACTGCAGTCCATATTTAACTACATATTTATATTTCCCTACTTTGCTCATATGCCATTTCCTTTGTTACACATTCTAAGATGTCTTTCATTCTTTTCAACCCTGTCTCCAAACATATATTTTTCATTCCTTCTGCTAGTTAGGTGCACTCCCTGGCCAATCCCAAAAACTTTTGATACCTCCCCCTCAAGCATGCTATCTTTACCCATAAATGCTTAACAAAAACATGCTGCTTGAAAGACAATGCCTTAAAATTCCTGGAATCAAGTGCAAACAACAGAGATGAGGTTCTAAGACAACAATGACCTGGTCTAGCAGGCCAGGTTCTGCTCACTGCCATGCCCCACCCTATGATAAGTGTAGCCGAGAATGTTGAGCTGAAGATGTGACCAAGTGGTAGACCATGTGTGTTGTATGCATGAAACTCTGGGTTTGATCTCTAACACCAATTAAAAAAACAAACAAACAAACAAAAAAACCTAAACAAGAAATCCATAATTAAGCCAAACATAGTGAGATATATGAATTTTCATGAAAGACTACACAGATATAACAGTTGCTAATTACCTTTACAGGTAATTTCTGTAGTAGCCACTTAGGTTTGAGTATGAAAGAGATCTCTTCCTCTTGTTCTTAGATGGTCGTTGCAGTGTGGCCCAGGAATTCCTGGGCTCAAGTAACCCTCTTGGCTTAGCCTCCAGAGCAGACGGGCCTACAGATGCACACTGCTGCCGTACAGTTTATGTGGCCAGCAGGAGAACTTCCTCAACTACCAGAGAGAGGGTTAAGGTGCTGGGGCTCTTTACAACGGCTCCAAAGCTCAACTTCAACTGACTCAAGATACATTTACAGTTATAATCTTTTAGCCTTTACTTATGTATATTTTTATCTCTGCAACTATGTGCCTGTCTGCCTGCCTAACTACCTATCATGGCATTGGGAACTGAACCCAGAGCATGCTGGCACACTCTCTATCACTGAGCTGTATCCCCAGACCTTTTAAAAAGGATGTGAGTGTGCGTGTTTGTAAGCCCCATGTGTATGGGTAGTCATGGAGGCCAGAAGGGGACAGTTCCCCTGGAGCTGGAGCTATAGCCAGCGCAGACATGAGCACCTGAAACTGAACTCAGAGGTCCCCTGCAAGAGCAGCACACGCTCTTAACCACTGAGCCATCTGCTCAGCCCCATCCCTAGACTTTTCTGAATCAGACTCCATTACTCAGACAGGCCTCACATTCACTCTGACCTTGCCATCCTCCGGCCTCAACATCTCCAGTGGCAAGGAGTACAGAAATGTGTCACAACTGCCTCTTCCTTTTTAAAACGATACCGGGGGGAGGGGGAGGCTGCAGTTGTTTATCAAATCACACTTTATCCCCAATGGAAAACTGCTTTGCAAACGAGCTAATGTGTCACTGAGATTCTTGGAACACAGCCCTAAAGAAAAACAGACTTGAATTTTGTAAAATTAGGGATGTGGCCAGATGGTCTTCACTAAATTTTTCTGACTTAAACATGCCACAGTTCACTTTTGTCCCCTTTAAGAAATAAGTCTCCTTTTCATTCTACTATGCAAATAAGTCCAGTAATAAATATAGCCTCAGATATAAATATAAATCATATGCAAATTATACGATAAGAATCTATTTGCTCAAAAATCCCCAATAATCTTACCGTTTTTCATTTCCATAAGACTTCTGTGCAACTTTTGCATGAAGAATGAGTACTGTTTGATCCCCTCGTTCTTTTAAATAATTTCGCATAGCTTCTCTGAAATCAAATATAAATATTATTATTGTAGGGATGGTATTTTGACAAAATCTTTCACTGTATCTGTGATAAGAGGAACGCTTATGAACATTTTTTAAATTAGCAAACTACACAGAAACAAATACATGAGCTACCTTAAAGAATGCTGTGCAAAGGACAATAGAGACCCACTTTCGCTCTGCATTTTGGTTATTAAAATTAAGATTTATAGCTGGATGTGGTGGCATACACTTTTAGTCCTAGCACTTGGGAGGCAGAGACAGACAGATCTCTGTGAGTTCAAGGCCAGCCTGATCTACAGAGTGAATTCTGGGACAGCCAAGGCTATTATTACACAGAAAAACCCTGTCTCGAAAGACCAAAATAAATAAATAAATTAATTAATTAACATTTATAATGCTATAGCTTATTTGTCTACCCTTTCACTTTGTAAGTCACAACAACAAAAAAATCAAATCATCCAAACTGCTATGCCTAAGCCCAAATTTACAACCCCACGTAAGGATTTAGAAAGGCCTGTCACTTATACACAAACATATACAATTGCCCAAAGGATGCTGCTAAATATTGTAGCAAGAGTTTTTCTCTCCAGGTCCCGCCAAGTCCTGGCAGTCCTGTAGCCCACTTATAAAATAAACATACAGGCGCTTATGTTATTTAAACTGCTCGGCCATTAGCTCAGGCCTACCATTGTCTAGCTCTTACTCTTATACTCAGCCCATTTCTGTTAATCTATATGTCGCCACGTGTTCTGTGGCTTTACCTGCTGCCTCTACATGATGCTCCCTGGACGGCAGGCTGGCGTCTCTTCCTCCCTGCCTTCCTGTTCTCTCAATTCTCTTCTCTGCTAATCCTACCTATACTTCTTGCCTGGCTACTGGCCAATCAGTGTTTTATTTATCAATCAATCAATCATCCACAGCAAAATATATTAAATTCATACAGGATAACTGAAATTGCTGAAAATGTATTAAATTTTCAGTATTACATCAAATTTAAACTGCAAATGCTTATTAAGCAAATGTTTTACAAAAACTTCAATGTGTATTTATTCACTCAATCATCCTGTCAAGCTAAGTGCCAAAGGGAGGCGGGGGAAGATGACAACACACCACTCTATAGGTTTAAGCAGAATCTCAATTCTTGAGATGTTCTTACACATCACAATATTAAGTTGTTGGGCAGTGGTTACATATGCCTTTAAGCCCAGTACTCTGGGAGGCAAAGGCAGGCAGATATCTGAGTTAGAGGCCAGCCTGGTTGTGGTGGTTTGAAGGAAAATGGCCCGTAAAGGGAGTGGCACTATTAGGGGTATGGCCTTATTATAGTGGCTGTGGCCTTGCTGGAAGAAGTGTGTCATTGTGGGAATGGGCTTTGAGGTCTCCTATGCTAAAGATGCAGCCCAGTGTCGCAGAACGCTTCCTGTTGCTTACAAGTCTCCATCTCCAGCACCATGTCTGCCTGCAGGCCATCATGTTGCACCACTGTGACTAAATAATGGACTAAACTTCTGAAAATGTAAGCACCCCAATTAAATGTTTTCTTTATAACAGTTGCCATGAAAAGACCTAACTAAGACACTAGTCTACAGAAGGAGTCCTAGGACAGCCAGGGCTACACAGAGAAACCCTGTCTCAAAAAATTAAGTCAGGATAATCAAATTTTTTTACTAAATTTTAATTATTCTACTTACATTGTAAATAAAGACAAACACACCACACAGATGGATATCCAGATGACAATAATAAGCTGTCAACTGTCAAAAGTTATTAAATGTAGGGAAATACAGATTTGTGACACTTGCACCCTAAATTGCCTGGACAAACCCGAGCCTCAGCCAGCTTTTATTTTCCTATCTGAAAGGAGGAGCTAACACAATCCACCTAGTTCGGTGGCTAAAGGGTCAAATGAGGTAACCTAAATGACCCGCATTCTTACTGAGGACATCTTTTAGCTGCAATGCATGGCAAGTGACAGCACAGTGTAGGCAAAGAGAATGGACCTCTACCACTGAGGGAACAGGAGAACAGAAAGGCATATACAGACAGCCCTGAAACATGTCGTCTACCTAGGTCAGGGAGTAGGGGGATGAAAGACCATGCACTAGAGTGAGTCCTCAAATGACCAACCAGGGCACTGGACAAGCTGGCCATGGAATGGACTGGAGATGTTGCTATGGCAGGTGACTGACAGTTCAGGAAATAAGACTGGGGGATGGGGTAAGAAAGAAAACACAAGGGGACTGAGAATATGGCTCAGTGGTTAAATGTTTGCAAAAGGGCTGGATTCCCAGAATTCATTTAAATGCCAGATGAGTGTGGTGACCCACCTATAATTCCAGCCTTGAAGGCAGAGCTAGGAGATCCCTGAAGCCAGACCAGCTATACTAGCAAGTTCTGGGTTTGATTAAAAGACCCTGGCTCAAAAGAATAAAAGTGGAAAAGAGATTGAGGAAGATTCCCTAGTATACATGAAAAAAGGCAAAAGCATAAACAAACAAGATAAAAACAATAAGAGAAAGCCAACACCTTGTCAAAATTTGTACAAAAGTCCCAGGCAGTAAACTTGAAAAGCAGCTATATACTTGAAAAGTTTTAACTGCAAGCATATTTCCCAAACTAAATTCTATTAACATTTATGGTCTCTGCTACATCACTTAATGATTATTTGCTACTGTTTATCGGGTTATATGTTTTCCTATATTCCCAGACAGACTATAGAGGCTTCAAGTAAAAGAACCTGAGGCAGGCAGAAATTCTTTCTACAAAGATAATATCACTATTAAAAGACTGACACTGAGCAGTGAGGCTCCATTAGTTATTTTTCTAAGCAAGTATTAATATAATATAACCAACAACCTTGAGGATGACATATGACCAAGCACATTTAGAAATGGGGAAAGGTTAAGCAACTTTCCTGAACTGACACAGAAAAGCCAGGATTCAAAGCTGAGTAGTTTAGCTATCTCAAAGACAAAGCTGTACTGCTTACAGATGGTACAATGGCTAAGCCACAGCTTTGCTCTGAAACAGAACAGGGTCTGCATCTCAACACTGCCACTTACTGAATCTGGGGTTTTTCTTCTCTATGAAGCTATTGGAAGGGGTGGGGAAATATACCCCAAAGTATGTTAGCCCTCCCACTGACAAGCAATTCCTATCAGCAAGTTACAGATATCACTATTGTTTTCTGTTTTAAAAGCCATTCCAAGCTCTTAACAATACAGGTTGCAGGAGAGAATGGGGATGGGGACTTCCACAAAAGCTTTGTAGGCATGCTAGATAAAGGACTTAGGGGTGTTACTGGGCATTTTAGCCAACTTGAACAGCACAGTTTCTGATAGCACACCTATCCATCCTTCCATCTAGGACATACTGAGAGCTACCACATTCCAGGCACTTGGCATTGTCCTAGTGTTTAGTATTAGAAACGACTACTATTCAGAGTTAATATCATGGTGTTAGGGCTACATGGGGCAGCTCCAGTTTTCCTTTTTCCCTTCAGTACTTAGAAAACAAATAGAACAGTAACTAGAGCCTGGTAGTAATCCTTAGTAATAATAATTGTCTGCAACAGGGATTTGCAAATGGCTTCTTGCAACAAGAAAAAATAATAAATGAAATAAGCCATAGTTACTTTTTGTCAACTTGACACAAACTTAGCCATGCCTGGAAAGAGGGAATCTCCAAATTGAGGGAATGCCTCGATTAGACTGTCTGAGGGCATATCAGTGGAGCATTTTCTTAATTGCTAACCCTTGAGAGTTCAGATCAGTGTGGGTGGTACCACCCCTGGGCAGGTGGGTCAGGCTGTATAAGGAAAGTAGCTGAGTAAGCCATGAGAAACAAGTCAATTCTTCCATGGTCTCTGCTTCATTTCCTGCCTCCAGGTTTCTGCCTCGAGCTCTTGCCCCAACTTCCTGAAAGCATAAGATGAAATAAAATCTTTCTTTCCCAAGTTGCTTGCGTCATGGTGTTTACCACAGCAACAGAAAAGACGGAATATTAAGTATTAAAATGTACTAATTAAATGTTAATTATTAATATTTATGCTATCTGGCAATCAAGGCTTGGTAATTTCCTTTCTGTAACTTAAGCTATTTAAAAAGTGATGGTGTACTTCAAAGAAACACATATGGTAAAACCCACACATATTTCACCCAAATACAGCAGGGCTTCTATCTCATACTACTGACATCCCAGACACCTCAGCTGTGGGGACTTGTGCACTGCACTGAAAGATGCTTAAAGGCACCACATCTGCCTTCTACTCAGCAGATGCCAATAAAATATCTTCTGATACCGACAAGGAGGTAGAGGATGGGGAATGATGCTGTCACCTGAACTGAAAACCACTGAAGTCAAAAATATTCCAATACAAGGTTACTTATCACCTAATGTTTTTTAGAGAGAGAAAGAGTAAGGTCAACTAACTGAAAAACATGATACAGGAGCTCAGGACCAGAGTCAGTCTACTGGCATCTAGTTCTGCTTTCTATAATATGACCAGTCCACCTTCAACTGGGATCTCAAAATGTTAGTAGTCATTGACTCTTTAGGAAGGTGAGAGTTTCCACAGCTTATTAAAACACTGCAGTTGTCCCTGTTACTCTCTTACTAAGTGTGTGCACACAGGAAAAGCAGCACGTGAGGGTGCAGTAGTGTCCTTAGGTTCAGGAATCCACTAGGGGTCGTGGAATCATTCCTATGAATAAGGGGGAATTATTCTTCATTTAAAAACAAACTGAAGTGAGAGATGGATCTGGGAGGAGTTAAGGAGGAAAAAATGAGCAAAATACATTGTATGTATGCATGAAGATCTAAAGAATAAAATATATTTAAATGAAAGAAATATCTGCTGAAGCTGAAGGCCAGCACTTTCTTGGTCTATATGAGGTTTTTACCCTGAGCACTTAAAAAAAAGTTTGCTGATCTATTAAACAATACAACAAACATTTTAAAAAGGAAATCATAAAAGTGAAAAATGATATGTACCCTAAAATCAGCAAAGTATATCATACACTTGACAATAACTTTTTTCCCCACAACCTTTTCTGGTTTTTCTGTTTGTTTCCACACAACTCCGCCTAAAATTGGACTTGAAGAAAGGAAAGTTGAGTTTGTACTGCTCCAAGCTGGGCACCTCAAGCTCCATTTTGCACCCACAAAATGAATAAAGCTCTTTACTCTTGTCAGAAGCTGTCATTTCCATCTTTATACTATCGCACACAAGGCATTTCAAATTCAGCTTCACAAAGAGGAACAAGGAAGGAAAGTCCTTCCTTTCCACACAAGCTACTCAGGTTTAACTTTCTTTTTATTTATTCTTTGTGTCTTTCACATCATGCATCTCCATCCTATTCATTTCCCTGTCCCTTTGTATCTACTCTCTGCCTTTGGTTCCCCCTCCCAAATAACATAAAAGAAGCAAAAAGAAAAAGAGAGAAGGAAAAATCAATCTCGTCATGGAAGTTGTAGTGTGACACAGTGAGTCACACAGGAAACCCTTTTCTTCATATATATATGTTTTTCAAGACAGGGTTTCTCTGTATAGCTTTACACCTTTCCTGGAAGTAACTCTGTAGCCCAGGATGGCCTTGTACTCACAGAGATCCGCCTGCCTCTGCCTCCCAAGTACGGGTATTGAAGGCGTGCGCCACTACCTCCTGGCTACATCAATGTATTTTTAAAATTCCTTGATTTATAACTTTCTTTGTTCTGTTACCATAAAAACTCCATGAAACTGCTTCCACATTGGAACGTTGTATTTGGAGACCTAAATGAATGTTCTGGGCCATGGTCACTAATATTTTGCTATTGATTAACCTTGTCTTTTTATCCCTTCGAAGTGAGAGCTGTTTCATTCAACCATACACAGCATACCTATCAAGCTTATAATCACATTTATACAGGATTGTCTTACCTAATAGGAAAAACGAATGGATTAAAACATCCTACTGGCCGGGCGGTGGTGGCGCACGCCTTTAATCCCAGCACTTGGGAGGCAGAGGCAGGCGGATCTCTGTGAGTTCGAGGCCAGCCTGGGCTACCAAGTGAGTTCCAGGAAAGGCGCAAAGCTGCACAGAGAAACCCTGTCTCGAAAAACCAAAAAAAAAAAAAAACAAACAAAAAAAAAACCATCCTACTAAGTAAAAATATAGACAAGAAAGAGCAGCATCTTACTATGCAAAAATATATAGAGAGGGGCCAATAAATGGCTCAGCAAGTAGAAACTGCCTTGTAAGCCTGACAATCTTGAAAGAGATTAATCTACCCCTGAAAGCTGTCCTCTCATTTCCGGACATGTGCCACTGACACATCACACACACACACACACACACACACACACACACACATCACACACACACACACACACACACACACACACACACACACACACACAAATTAAATAGAGAAACAGAGAATAGCTGACTAGAAACTGTTCAAAACAGGTATTGACCTAGCTTGAGTCAACAAAAACGAAGGTTCATGTGTGAACAGAGCAGTGTCTCCGTAAGAGCATGAGAAGATAGGCTCTCTGAAAAGCATTACTCCTAATACAAATGAAAGATATGCTGAGCGAGAGAACAACATAAAATCATTCTAACAATTCTATAAATTTTAAAGTAATGGTAAACCTTACAAAGGAAATCCTCTGCTACTAAACAAATACTAGAAAGAGCATGAGTTAGCAGCTACTAGTCTGCAATTATAGGAGGAGAAAATTAACCAAACTACCTCTGAAAGAATGTGTAGCTTTCGATCCCTGGGACCCACCTGTGGAAGGTGGGAAGATTCTCCTTTCTCAAGCTGACTTCCCACTTCCATATGCACAATGTAACACACACACACACACACACACACACACACACACAATAAATGTAATTCTTAAAAAAGCAAATTCAGTCATGCTGAATAGTGCATAGTCTTTACTCCATTTATTTGTGCTTTTAATTAAAATTTTAAATCATATAGAAAGAACCTCCACCCCAATGAGAGACTCTCCCACCAATATGGTTTACTTTGGGAAACAGGAGTAAGAAAAAACAGCCCAGGGTAGGCTTTCAAAGTTCCTTAAATGAGAAGACATGGCCCCCACATTACACCCTTTACAACCCAGTGGAGACAAATTCCCTTACAATATTTTTGGCAAAATAAAACATTGTTTTCCTGAAGCAGAATTACTTCAAAGGAGAAACAGAAAAATACCATTTCCAAGTATTAGACAGTACTAAATTTAGTATAAAAATTAATAAGAAAATATCCCAATACTCAATAAAACTAATTTATCACAGAAGTGATTACTGGTTTTCAATTTGTATTTGCCAATTACATGGCTTTGCTAAGTTTCTATCGGCAATGAAGACGTCTGCAATTGTTTTTTTTTTTTTTTTAAGAGAGAAAGCTTAGTGGAATTCTTCCCCAGCGGATATGCTAGTCTCCGAGGTTACCTCCTATGTAAAAGGTTACTAAGATGTTTTATTGAGCTCTAACTGGCATACCTTGTGGTGGTTTCAGCATGAGTACGCTACACCACCACTATCTGCTAGTTTAAGATACTTTAGCATTTCTTCTGAAGTTATTAAACCTCTTCCTGAACAAGCTTAGATAGTTTGCTAGTTTAAGATACTTAAGCATTTCTTCCAAATGTTATGGTATCTGCAGGGTCTGTAGTAAATGCTATCTTTCTTGTTCTTGGACCAGTAAATTAGAATCCTTTTTCTATTCAATATTGCCTTTATGCTTGGAAGAATTTCTTTAAATGTTCTTCAAGTCTGTTTATGATGGATTCTTTGTTTCGAACGTTGTTTAAGGTCTCTATTTGAACCCTTTTGGATATTTTAAAGCTGTCTTACCTGTAGCAAAAATTCAGACGAAAAATCTGCTGTGATCTTTATCTTTGTTCTTTTGAAATCCATCCTGTCCCTTGTTTTTAATTTTTTACCACTAGTGTTAATCAATCTGACCATGATGTGCTTTAACATACTTTTACACTTAAGACTTAACTGAGTTTCTTGGATCTATGGTTCAAAAGCTTTCAACAAAATATTTTCAGGCATTATTTCTTCCCATAGTTTTGGTCATAATTTCCTCTGCCTCTCAGTACTGGAATAAAAGGTATGCACCACCACCTCCCAGCCCTGTGTTCATCATTCTTAAATACAATTTTCTTTCCCTTCCTCCCTTTTTCTTTCTTTCCTTCCTTCTTTCTTGAAACAGAGTCTCACTATGCAGCCTTGGCAGGCATGGGACTCACTGTGTAAATCAGTTTAGCCTCGAACTCAGAGATCTGGCTGCCTCTGCCTCCTGAGTACAGTATGGAATTAAAGTGTGCACCACCATGTCCAGCCCACAATTGTTTTTATTTTATTTTATTATCATTTTTTAAATTTTTTTGTTTTTTTTCGAGACAGGGTTTCTCTGTGTAGCTTTGGAGCCGGTCCTGGTATTCACTCTGTAGACAAGGCTGGCCTCGAACTTACAGAGATCCACCTGCCTCTGCCTCCCAAGTGCTAGGATTAAAGGCATGCACCACCACTGCCTGGCTCCACAACTGTTTTTAATAAATATTAAATTTTAATAATAGTAATTATTTGGTAATAGCCTTAACAGTCATCAATGTGAACCAAGAAGGATGCGGATACAACAGAACACCATAGAGCTATTACAGAGAACTCTGAAGTCTAATGTCATATAATACATTGTGGGGTTTAAAGGATGTAGAATAATAATAAAGTGGGATCTCAGTTTAGGTTCAAAAGCAAACACATACACACACACACCCCTACCTCCTTAAAAGATTAGTTAGAAGGAAAAAAAAACAAGCCAATGCTTAGACTGAAACTGTCAAGACCACTGGGTTTCCTTATTTTACAATCCAACAAAAATTTTATGAGTTTTTAAATTAATTCTTTGAAATATGATTGAGAAATTAACGTACATAGTTAAAACACTATTTATACTGTCATGAAAGTGAGTAAATCTTAGATTTTCATAAAAATGAGAAATGTAGTATTTTAACATGCATTTCAAAAAGCATCTGTTAAATCTCTCAAGTCTTCCCCTTAAACATCCAAGTGTAATTGGCTAATCAGTTGCAGCTGTTATTGTCACAATCTATTACTTAAGATGAGTTTCTGAAAATACTTCACTTTTTCACTTTTAAAGTATATTCTTTTAGTCCTGCTTTTTTTCCTTAGGAGAGAAGGAAGTGAAGGGGTGGGAATATGCTCAAGATGTAATTACCAATATCTGAATGATTTCTAAGGAGCGTTCATATTAGTGTCTAAAATGACAGAATCTACATCACAGTCAATGTTTAAATGGCTAGTATAATGCTTACCTAGTAAGTCGTTTAGGTGGAGGCCGCTCACCAAACTTCCTGGAAAAAAATTAAAGAAATAAAGTAAATAAGCTGCCTGATAAATACCACAATAAGATATAAGGCACTAGAAAGTGTCCCTTATGATTTGTCAATCTTGATGAACAGTGAAGAGAGAAATCCCCCAACAATCATCTGTGCCCAGAAATAACAAATGCACAATACCAAGTTCTTAAAAACAATAGCAGTGGGGCCAAAGAGATGGCTGAGCAGTTAAAAACGTGTTGCTTTTGCAGAAGACATGGATTCAATCCCTAGCACCTACACAGCTCACAATCAACGGTAACTCCAGTTCCAGGGGGTCTGTCCTCTTCTGGCCTCCTTGGGCACCAGGCAAGAGTATGGTACTCACACATATGTGCAGGCAAACACTCATATACGTAAAATAAATCTAAAAACAAAAGAAAAGCCAATGGCAGGCTTTACACATCGCCCTGAGTCCAGTGGCACATGATCAAATGAGGATAGCTGACCGCAAACTTCTGAAGCACCTTAGAGAAAAACCACCCAGACCCACGAGGAGAAAGTGGTTCAAGCACGCGCTACCAAGCCTGATAACCTGAGTTCAATCCCAAGAACCACATAGTGGAAAGAGAGAACCAAATCACGTAAGTTGTACACTAGAACCCCCAGATTTTGTAAATCTGTTTAATTTTGTAAACACTTTTGTGTTTAATTTTTATTCTATTTTATTTTATATAAAAAATTTGAAACCCACAACCCACCCACCTCAATGTTTTCCTGACATACCAGCAAGGAAGCCTAAGCTGAAATATTTTAAGACATTCAATTACTTCACTACTCATGACTACAGCTACAGAGCATAAGGTAAAAATCTGCTCCTGGATTCTTTTCCACAGAGGATTTTTTTTTTCTTAAATCATAGACAGTGACCAAATGCACCACTATGTCACATAGGTACAATAAAGGGATCTGATTCAGACTGAGCATACTACAAAAACCAGAAACAGAGGAGGAATTACCAAAGTCCACTGAAGCATTAAAATAGTAAGAACTTTATATAGAGAAAGAAACGGGGAATGGAATAAAACATTCCAATAACCACCATGTACCAAATCTAATATTCTAAACCAGCAAGCACTCTTTGGGTTCTAACAAGTTAATTATATGATTAAATAGTAAGAGTCAATGCACTAAAAACTCTGATTCAAATTTTATTCCTAGGTACAATGTAATTCTGCCCAAATTAGGTTAACAAGTAAATATCAGTCTATATTCTATAAACATTCATTAGATCAGGTTAATGACAATATAATATGCTAATACAACATCATGCCTGGCCCCAAAGGAAATGTGGGAAAGATAATGCAATACAATCGCCTGCTGAATAATTAGTAACTATATTCTAAATTTTATCCTCATACTCAGGGTGTATACCCACAGATAAGTAGATATCACCTCTCACCAAAGAGACTTCTCTTTGAAACTATCACAGAAAACCACAATACAGAAATCACAGATTGTGAGGAACCTAGCCCCTGTGGACACATCTACATCGCAGTTCTTGCATCTATGGTTCAAGGACCATCTCAGAGGACGGGGCAGAAAGATTTTAAGAGTCAGAATACCAGGAAGCCTGCCATGAAAGTCTCTCACAGAAATGGCTGCATAAACAAGTCCTAAATAATGGCAGTATCAAGACATGCTAACATCAAAGGGGTAAAATCTTACACTCCTATGCACAAGGAACTACAAGCGACTGATGACTACGACCTGAAAGAATTAGCTTATCCCAGCAGCTATGCCTCCTAACTGGCTGTCCAATACAAAGTGTCAGGCCCTGAGAACATATACGCACAGACAACAAAAACAACTCAGCAGGCTGTATTTATATACTGTGCAGACATTTACATGTATATGTGTGTATGTATGTGTAAAACAGAAATGATCAGGGGAAAAGTCTATTAATTTGAGAGTGAGAAATATGTGGACATGTGTGTGTAAAACATAAATAATCAGGGAAGGAGAGGCTATTAATTTGAGAGTGAGGAAGGGGACAAGGAAGAAGTTGGAGGGAGGGGAATTGTGAGGGTAGGAAAGTGATGTAATTATTTTAATTAAAAATGTGTTTTATGGGCAATGATGTGCACACCTTTAGTCCCAGCGCTCAAGAGGCAGAGGCAGGCAGATGTCTGAGTTTAAGGTCAGCCTGGTCTACAAAGGAAGAGAATTTCAGGACAGCCAAGGCTATACAGAGAAACCCTGTCTTGAAAAAACAAAAAAGAAAAGGGTGAGGGGAGCCTGCTGAGCCTGGTAACATTTTACACAAAACCACACATCATTCAACCTAGTAGCTATGTTTGCTATAAAAGAAAGATCCAATAATTGTTGCATGCAATCCTGACCTTCTTTAATGAATATGCCATCAATGTATTTATTGGAGAGAGTGATTACAAAACAGGTTTTCTGGGGGAAAAAATCTAATGAAGTATGAAACAGTTGACATTTCTAACTCTGAAGTTCATATGTACCCCCTTCTCATGTAGCCCAAGCTACATGATAGACCCCAGAGTACTCCATTGGAGAAAACTGACTTTTCCTCTCCCAGGAGGTCTCAGTTACAAACAGCTTCTTTTTTTTTTTTTTTTTTTGGTTTTTCGAGACAGGGTTTCTCTGTGTAGCTTTGCGCCTTTCCTGGAACTCGCTTTGGAGACCAGGCTGGCCTCGAACTCACAGAGATCCGCCTGGCTCTGCCTCACAAACAGCTTCTTGTTTAGGGACGAGAAGCTTGGTAATTAACACAGTGACCCACAACTGGACAATATGCAGCGAGTGAGAGACCTTGGAGCACTCAACCCTGAATTGAATGTCTTTATGAATTCCCTCTCCTCAAGGCTCAGGGATCTATGCTCTATAGGAGGTGGAATCATTGTAAAAACATGGAAGAAGACTCCATGGAAAACAGCCTCTTCCACACACAGCAGACCTGATAACACATATGAACTCAGAGAGGTGACAGCAGGCATCAGACCTGCATAACTTCAAGCCAGACAAAATCCCAGCAAGTAGAAAGGGAGTGGGCACAAAGTGATATATATATTTGCCATAGTCTCCAATCCCTTAGAATTTCTAAAAGAGAAACTTGTAAACCCATTCCATTTATACATACTTCCTTTTGGCTGGGGAAAAGAGGCAAGAAGAGGTTTCTCCCACACCAGATCCCCTTCTTTCTATATTCACCAATGTGTTAAGGAAATGTACAACCACAAATGTACAAAAAGGATAAAAGTTATCAAATTTCAGCATCTTAACACTTTCTGGCCAAAAGATAATTCCCATTAAAAAACAAAAACAACAAAACCAATTCAAATATCAAAACAAAACAGGAGAGAAAAAAACAAAAAACAAGAAAAAATGCTGTTGAGTACAGAACAATTTAGTAATCACACCATTAAGCCAAAGAAAAGCCAACCCTCACTCTACCTCTAAAGCTGGACAAGAGCACTCTGGTTTTGGAAGCACACTAATGAACTGAAGAATGGACGCAAAACATGGGGAAATCTCTCTCAATGGGATCTTAGAGCTTAAAGTAATTCTATTTTTATTAACTTTATTAATAATTGTCTGCGTCATGTTGAAATGGGATTAGAAAGAATTCAAGGCAAGCAACACCAGGGAGCTACCTGCAGGAAAAAATAAGAAACATTAACAACCCAAACTTCTATAAACAGTATTTAATTATAATAAAGCACTGGGGTTTCTGAATAATGACTTAAAAGAAAGTTCTAGACAGAGAAGCCTAACAAAGCATTTACCACCAGTAAGAGAAACTGACTACATGATACACATCAGTATATGCTGTGGGATGTTCTGTATGTTAAATGTGTTGCTCTGATTGGTTAATAAACAAAACACTGATTGGCCAGTAGCCAGGCAGGAAGTACAGGCGGGACAAGCAGAAAAGAGAATTCTGTGAAGTGGAAGGCTGAGGCAGAGAGTCACTGCCAGCCGCTGCCATGACAAGGGAGATGTAAGGTACTGGTAAGCCACGAGACACGTAGCAAAGTTTAGATTAATAGAAATGGGTTAATTTAAGATAGAAGAAGTAGATAACAAGAAGCCTGCCATGGCCATACAGTTTGTAAGCAATATAAATCTCTGTGTGTTTACTTGGTTGGGTCTGAGCGGCTGTGGGACTGGCGGGTGAGAGAGATTTGTCCTGACTTTGGGTCTGGCAGGAAAACTCTAGCTACAAGTATACATTCTGTGATAACAAATGGCATAAAACACAAATGAAGCCAGTACTGACTGGGAAGGTGCTTGGTACCTAATAGAAAACCACAGTAAGCTCACCAGCATCAGCACATGTAATGACTGCACCATATTTGTCCCTTACTAGTTACTTTGAGTAGCTAGCTACTAGGGACCAAGTACAGGTATGTCCAAACGTCAAAATGAGCAAAAGGTACAAACTCGTGCCCTTCCAGAACTTATGCACAATTAGGGCAAATGGACAGGGAGAAACATTAGTGTATTCATATTCATAATTTATAAAAGCAAAAATTTCCTTGTGTGTACTAAGTACTCTCCCAACTAGATGATATCCTAGCCTTGAAAATACATTTTAAATAAACATCAGATTTATCTTTAAACAGCTTACTTTTTTTTTTTTTTAAACTACAGGTGCAGAAAACAGCCTATTAAGTCATGTATCCTTTGAAAAAGACACTCATCAGGAGCTAGAGCTCAGTGGGAGAGCTCAATACCCTGAGTATCTGATCCTAGGCTCCAACTAAAAAAGAGTATGTCAGCCTTTTTCCAACTTACTTTGAATCAGGTCTTACCTTAAGAGACAATTTGAAAGCAACAGTGCTAGAATTTGGCTCAGTGTAACCACTGGGTAATTCTGGGTAATGTGACAAATATGATCAAGGCAGATCAAGGTCCTCCTGGACCATCACATTTAGGAAGCACATTCCTAATATAGCAAACATCCCCTGGGCTGATGTCAAAGACAGGTCAGAGACCACAACAGATGA